TGTCTGTATTTAAAACTCAAGGGAAGATTGTTCTAGGCCCTGGAGTTAATTTGACACGAGCGTGCATTGGTTTAAAGGGAACGCGCATTAAATCAGCTTTAAAATTCAGTGACTCGTGCCTGGAAACACAGTATAATTGGGTTATAATTCTAACTGTATCTTATTTTGAAGATTATATTAATTAGAATATTTGGCAAGGGCCTTAGAGTAAAAATAGTATCATTTTCGCTTCTCTGAAGGACAGACCAGAGGGGAGGAGAAGAGGGGAGAAAGGCCACTGAAAAGAGAGATGGAGAAACTCGCATGGTGTAACCCTACCCAGGAGTTCCTTGGCTCGTCATGCCACTTGAACTAGCTGCCCCTTTGAGCTCCTGCTCTGTGCTCACCTCTTTGCACCTTTTCCTTTAACAACCCAGGCGGCGTGGGTATGGTTACAGTCCCCATCTTGCTGATGAGAAAACTGAGACTTAGACCGTTGGCAAGGGTCACAAAGAGTCTGCATTTGCACCCAGGTCTGTGCCACCACAGCTCCCAGCCTTCCTTATGCTGCGACCCCACCTCTGCTTCTAGGGTCATGGGAAGCCAGATGGTGTTTCACAGCCAAGGAAGGAAGGCAGAGGGTTCTGGAACCTGGGGGTGAATCATTTGCCCCAACTTTTTGGGCATTTTCCCCACAGAGCATACGAAGCCAAGCTGAGGGCTGAAGGTGGGCACAGGCCTGTCAAGGCCCCATGGTTTAGCACGTGCCTCCTCCTTGCAGAGCTCAGACCCTAGGGATGGAGAATAATTTCAACACAGACTTCATTAAGATAACTTGTACTACATTAGACCAAGCTGATTAAATGAAGGCATGTACTTCACGTGTCTGCACTCATTTGAGTGTCTGGCAGAAAGGGACCTGGGAATACACACGAGACCTCAGGAAGGGGAGTTGGCGTCTGAAGAGGAGGATTCCGAATCCTTGCTGCTGCTGCTGTTTATCTGCTCTAGGTCTTTGAAAACAGTGTCTTGCCGCTGTGCTCCTCAGTTCTTCATCAGGAGAATGAAGGACATTTACTGGTAACTTACGAGGGCCCTGCCATTCATTCCCGCATGAATGTAGGTCCACAGGGAGCTGACTGTCGAGGTCATTCCTGAGCTGTATGCTTTATGCACTTAGAACATGCTACATAAATGTTTGCTGGAAAGGTTAGAGAGTGGATGCGTAAACACTGAAGGGGTGGGAAGGCCTACTGAGACTGTGTCTTGGCCAGCCATGATGGCAGATCATCAGTCTCCACAAGTTGCCCGCGACCTACAGCTGCCACCCCCTGGGGTCGTGTGGACAGTGTTTAAGCTGCGGCTCATAGGGGTCTATTACACACTTCACTTGGCCTTTGCGTTTCTGTGGACGTCTCTATCGCTGAAATGAGAGAGAGCAAGATTTCAGATGGTCTCACCATTTGCATTGCTCAAAACTGATACCCAGCCATCCATGAAATTGTGTTCATGGAGAGGCGTCCCCACCAACCAGCATCCGACTGGAGCAAGAGGGAGCGTGGCCCCCAGCCCTTCCCGGGTGTGTCTGACTAACTAGCTATGGGAATGACAGCAGGAAAGGAAAGGCCAGCCGCACAGGCCCACACTCTGCAAAGGGAGGAGACCTAGGACGCTCGCACACATTGATCCTTGACTCACTCTTAAAGGAAAGGGAACATTAATGATTCAAAAGCTCTTTTTAGAGTGCGTGGGCCCCACCTCTCGCTTGAAAGAAAGCCGAGGGGGACCCATTCCCAGTGCAAACTGGCTCCGAAGAGCACTGGCTGTTAGATCACACTCGCCAAAGGCTGTTTTTCCCAGCAGACCTGGCACACGTCGCCGGGAGTTGCTGCTGAACTCATTCATTGTCCACAGAGCCCAGTACAACTGGCCATTCTCCTGGCAGGTGTCAGTCCCAGCCTGTCCCCATCTTTACGAAGCCGCCCAATCATGACACCCCCAAGAAATCCCGCTGGAGCCCTCCCGGCCACATCTCATGGTGTGGCGTGCAGGTCAAAGGCTTGGGAGTACGCAAGGCCTGAATTTGAACGTGGGCTTCACTAATTCCTGGCTGTATGGCCTGGGACAAGTAGCCTAACTTTGAAAGCATCATGTCAAAGGAGTTGTAAGTGAAACGGAAGAATCTGGATTCACAAAGGAAAAAAAATAGTTGGTTTCTTTTTTTCACCTCTATCATTTCAAGTTCCTGTTCCATCTGAGTAGGGTCTTAACCTTCGCAGATTTAGAGTCCTGCCGCTTCCTTAGGGTGCCAGCTGATTTCAGGGGGATTTATATGATGTTTGGGTGTTGAGGGGACTTCCAAGGGGTGCTCACCTCTCTGGTCCTCAGTCACTAGTGGTGCTTCAGGACTGGCAGCTTTCTTGGGGTCTCCTTGCCTTACTTAGAGGCACAGAACGACCTCCACTGCTCCTCATGCTCTCTCTGTAAGACCATCTGTTCCTCCGTCCTGATGCCCAGACCAGCATCCCCTCCCAACATCACACACCCCTGCCGGCGCTCAGCCCAGTGTCAGGCTCAGGTGCCCTCCCTCTGCATCTCTGTGGTCTACCCTCCCCCACACACCCCCACCTGGGGAATCACTTCCTTGTCTGGGGGAATCCAAAGTTTCTTCCTCTATTTTCTCCCAAATGTTGATCCATACCCATCTCCCTGTCACAGCCCTCCCTGTGGCAATGAGCAGAAGCCAGAGAGGGAGGCAGAGGGGAGAAATTAAAAGAATAGAGGCTAAGATCTCAAACATACTATCTTACCGCTTAAGGATTAAACACAATAGCGTATGAAGGAACTCACCATGTTTTAAGGACCTCATAAATGATGGCTATTATTTTTCCCCCTGTGATCTGTTGGCCACATTATCTACATCACTTTTTTGAAAATTAATCATGCTTAGCCTTAAACCATCTATTGTATTGGCAATTTGCTCTTTTATATTGTCCCAGTTTCTACATTTTATTCTCCCAACGAAATGTGAGCTCCTGGAGAGCAAGGCCCACATCTTACAACTAACTGAATGTAACAGAAGGGTCAGCATACAGCGAACGCTTGTAACTGTGTGCAGATGTAGCCTCAGGAACCCAACATCATGTTCCCAAAGACTGAGCGAAGGTCCTGTGTGTTAGAAATCAGGTTGTTTGTTTTTTTTTCTTAAGATAATTCATGAGTATGTTTATATCTAAATATTAACAGAGGAGCCATGTGGTGTCTGCAGTCACTCTGGGCTATGTAGTAAAAAGAGATTTTCAGTGTATCCATTATATTTTAAAGTCCTGCCTCACAACAGCCCCTGAGTGCAAATATATTTCAAATTTTATGCTGGCCTCCTATTGCAAAATGCTAATTGAATTGATTTCCTGGAGCTACATCACTGATAAATAGAGTCCATCAGAGATTGGGATTTCTGAGGCAAAAATATAGAACGTGGATGCTTTGCTGAGAGAAAAGAATGCGTAGGAAAATGTCTTTGCATTCAAAGGAGTTGCCCAGTTTGGTTTTTAAGGATGGAGCTGCTGAATGGGCTCTCTCAGCCTCACTGGACCGGGCTGGCCAGTGCCGCCAGGAGGCCTCCCTGGATGGATATATTCACACTGAGGCACATACCTCACCACTTCCTACTTTTGTGGCCTTGGGTCACTTGTTCCTCCTCTCTAAGCCTGAATTTGCTCACCTGTAACTATAGAATAGGACCCACCTCCCAAGAGTCTGATGAAGGTTCAATAATAGAATGTATGTTGAGGGCTGCACAGGTGTTAGAAACATAGTCCACACCCGGTTGGGGGATGACCATCTGGATGCCCTGGTAGTGGCAGCTTTGCTGTTCATACCAAGCTCACACCTTCTTCCTGCAGGTCAACAGAAGTGCTCTTTAGCTGGGGCAGGAGTGTGCTAAGGACTTGGAGGGGCATATTATCCATGAGGGCTTTGATAGCCCAGAACAGAAGGCCCCAAATTGGCCACCTCAAGCCATGGCCACCTCAGGTCATTCCTCAAAGCCAGATCTGTTGAGAGTCCCCTGTGGACTGAGCAAGATCAAGGTTAAGTGTGTTGGAGTAGGTTGCCCAGAGAAGGAAGGGGTCTGAGCTCCGTGAAGTCAGTGGGGAAGGCCTCCCAGTGGAGGTGAGGATCCAAATAGACCTTGGGGAGGTGGGGAGTGATTTGGAAAACCATGGAGAAAATACAAGGTGGTAACTTCCAGGCTGGCTTTGCAACATAAGTCACATTGGACAATTTCATGTGCCGAGAAGTGGACCCCAGCTCAGACAGGACTCGGCTCAGACAGGACTCGGCTCAGTCAGTAGAGAACAGGAGAAGAAAGTCGGAAGTAGATCCGAATCAAGGACGTCCATATAAGCCAAAGAACCTGAATTTGAGCTGATGTGAAGTCAACTCATTTCAAGAGAGCCAGTGCCCATGGGTGTGTGGGCTTTCTGGGATTCCTCAGTCCCTGTCCGCTTCTTAGTGGAACGTAAGGGAGCAAACACCAGCTTTGGAGCCAGACAGGCCAGGATGAGAGTCCAGCATTTAGCTGTGTGTCCTGGGGCAAGTCCCTCAACCTTCCTGAGTCAGGGACTCTTCAGGTGTCAGTTGGAAACAACGACCCCATCTTTGTAGGCTTACTCAGGCGAAGTTCCTTGCACACAGCCCGGCGCACAGCAGACTTTTAATCAACGGCAGCTTCCTCTTCCCTCCTGTCTTCTCAGACAGTGTGTGTCTCTGAAAGTAACTATTTTAAAATTCACAGACTCCAGGCTTCCTAAACCAGGTGGAGCTGGGAGTGTCACGGCATTGGCGGCCTATAACATCCTCTTGTTGAGAACCTGGCCGCCAAGCTCACCACCTGGAAGGAAAAGTTCAGGTGTAAGGGACACAGTCACTGTGTTCTTGGCTCCAGAGCCAGGAGGTGCCTCGGAGTGGTGCTTCATCCCCCACCCCCACAGAAACAACAGCGCTTCTTTCTCTTCCAGGAGGAGAAGTCACCAAGCCGCGGTTTGCCCAGTTCTTCCACGGCAGCCTGGCCAGTCTCACCATCCGCCCTGGAAAGATGGAGAGTCAGAAGGTGATTTCCTGCCTGCAGGCCTGCAAGGAAGGGCTGGATATCAATTCCCTGGAAAGCCTCGGCCAAGGAATAAAGGTAAGGAAGGAGCCAGCATCACCCCCAATCAGGTGTATGAGCAGGAGGCTGCCCAGGGCCAGTGCACTCTGGGAAATGGAGTCCTTTCCTGTCCAGTGGCACAGAGCCACATCAGGAAAAGGTGCTGCCACAGCGGGGAGATTGGTGACTGTGACTCCAAATAGACACTGCTGCCATCTCCTGAAATTCCAGAGAAAGCCCCTGTGGGTAGATAGTCAGGCTTACGTTCGGGGTCTACCTGGAGGGACTCAATATGTTTCACCTGTTCTTTGGTTGGTTGGTTATTCCCCTCAAGGAGCCGAAGCAGCGTGCAGGAAGATATTTTAAAGATAAAAAATTTGGACCATATATGGTGCACATCAGAAAGGAAGGTCAGACCCAGCAGGCTAGAATTAGAAAGCAGATGTGGAGGTCGCTGGGTCTTTCATTGTTGAGTTGAGGCATAGATTGAGCCTCAAGCAATCTCTGGCGATCAAAGGGAATGTAAACGGACTTGGGATTTTGATCATGTGTGTAAAATACAAACATTTGAATAATCCAAGAGAATCAAAGCTGCGTTCTGAGCAAAGCTCCTCAGCAAGCACCTGCCTGACATGCAGGCATGGCTCTGGCCTCACCTGGATCGCAGGAGCCCCTGCCTGCAGGAAGGCTCTGGGGTCCTGAGCAAAGAGCAGGATAAACATCCTGGTGGCCCTCACTCCATCACCAGGGACCCCAGCCCCGTGGAGCTCCGCTGCCCTCCAGCCCTGGGCCCGCTTCTCCGGGCTGGGAGGCAGCCCAGGAGTGGAGAGCCCTCTGACTGCAGCTGCGTGGGGCTTGTGCAGCCCTGATGGGTGGCTCTGGAAGGGCTCGTGAGCTGAGCACATCATGCTTTTGTCTAAGTGGAGGTCGAGTCAGCAAACATTCCATGGACACCCATGTATTTGGTTCTCGACTGCGTAAAGAGGCACCAAAAGGAATGTTCCTAGCTTTTCGTCTTCAGGAAACTCAGTCCTCCTTCAGAGCTCCAGAACCTGGGGAATGGCAGTCAGGGAAGGCTCCTTGGAGGAGGCAGTGACTGCGCTATGGAAATGAGAACAGGGCTTCTTCGGGAAGGTGACTATTCCACAGGGAGTCATTCTCTTTTACCTGCTCTTTGGTTGGTTGGTTGCTTACTCCCCTACAGGAACTGAAGCAGCATTCAAGAAGGTATTTTTAAAAATAAAAAGTTTGGGGATGGGTAGGAACCAACCAGGAAAAAGGCAGGGGGTAGAGGAGGGGAAGAGGACAGGGTGGTCACTCTAGCCAGAGCCAAGAGCCTGAGTGGTAGCAGAGGGCTGAGGAACCCGCAATGCACCCTGGGACTCCGGGGCCAATGTTCAAGTGCCCAAATTGCAGGACCACGGTAGAAAGTGTGACCAGAGAGGTCGACAGAGGCCATGTCAGGGAGCCTTGCTAGCTATGTTTAGGTGTTTACTTTTTTCCGTCAGCCACAGGCAGCCATGGAGTACTCCGGGCAAGGGAGCATGATCTGGGGCTGTGTGGGGTTTAGGATAATCACCTGGAGACGGGGTCAGAGGCGGGTGATGGTAGAACACACGCAGGATAAGGCAAGAATGGCTTTCCGGGACCTTAACATGCATTACTTACACACACACACACACACACACACACACACACACACGCAGAGCCTGGGGTTTGATCCTTGACCTGCCGTCTGTGCTGTTTCCTCAGTGTGTTGTCAGACCAGCGATGCAGAAATCCCTCCGCCAACCCTCCCTTCTCTGTCAGATTCTGGGTTTGCTCCTGGTCCCTGGGTGTGTCTCCTCTTTGCCGGATCATCCCGTGGGGGAGGCTAGTCTGATTTTTCAGGGTACCACCTGCTCATAGCCAGTCAGTGCAAAGGATCATTTTACGCCCTTAGGGCACCACTCACAAGGACCTGAGCGCCCTGTGAGAAGTCAATGACAGGCACACGATTTATAGCGCGCTCACTGGGGCCCTCTTACGTTCATTATCCCCACTCCTCACAGCAAATTAAATAGTATGACCTCATTTCAGAAATAAGGAGAGTGGGGCTCGGGGACTTGTCCCAACTCGGATTAGAAGGCATTCTTAAAATGATTAAAACTGCCTGCCTGCCTGCCTCCATTTATCCCTCATTTTGTTGCTGAATAGTGGCTATTATTTTCTCTCCTGGCCCCCTGCCTCCTCTCTGGCTATTTGAAAGAAGTGAAGTCCTCCTGGGATTAAGGAAACTTCCTGTCGGCTCACAGGGCCCAGTTCAATTTCTCTTTTTTACCGATTTTCCCCGGATCATGCACATTTCTGAATCTCTCTCTAGCGTGTCTGGAGTCATTAAGTGTCTGGGTGGCTGCTGTCTTGTATCCACACAAAACCCTGTGGGGTAGCCATCTTCCTGAAGAAAGCCCCGCTCTGATCTCCATGGCATCATCCCTGTGGCTGTCATCTGCACAGTGTGGAAGAGTGGGACAGAGCAGGGACTTTGGAGCAAGACAGTCCGTGGTTCAGATCACAGTGTGGACATTGACTAGCTGGTGACCTTGGGCAAGGTGCTTCTATCCCATAAGCCTCACTTCCCTCATCTAAAAATGGACTTAATATTTTGCAGAGATGTTGTAAGAATTGAATTTTATGCATATCTTTATATATATTTATATATTAGCTATAGCAAAGGTGTAGCTATAAATACAGATATAGACATATAGTTACAGCTATAAAAATAGATATATAGATTATATAGATGTATTTATAGCTATAGAAAGAGATGTAGAAATAGATATAGATAATATAGATATAGTTGATATATATAGATATAGACATAGATAAATAGATATTGATATAGATAATATAGATATAGCTGATATAGATGTAGATATAGGTATAGGTATATAAATTATAGATGATACAGATATAGATATACAAGTATATATAGATATAGACAGATAGATATAGATACATAGGCATAGGCATAGACATAGGTATATAGATCTCCCCTAGCAAACCTAATAAATAGGCTCTCAAACAATCACAGTTTCCTTCTCCAGCTGGGCTGGGCTTGCACGTCTTTTGAAAAGTAAGCCTGGGTGACAGTTGTCGCAGAGGCTAATCTTCTGGCCCAGCCCAAGAGGCTGGCAGGTGTCCAAGGTGCCTAGACTGCCATGGCCGGCCTGTCCTCGAAGAATAGGTCAGAGCTTTGAACAGGAATTTCACCGCTGTTCCAGCCTGTTACTGGCTGGTGACACAGGCCCCTCAGATCTGACCACTCTGCAAAGCCCCTCTGTCCAGCAGCTTCTTGGCTTAAGGAAAGGAATCACCGTGGCTACCACACAGCTTCTCAGGGCAGAGTGAACGCTGGGTCCCCAAAAAGCCATCCGTCTGGTAATGCCAACATCACCCTACGTCCCACACACCTAGAGACCAACCTCAGTCATGCCACAGGGCTGTGAACACTGCAGTTCAAAAAACAAAACAAAACAAACACCTATTCAGTAGACGGCCTTATTGATCCCACAAGAACTATGGTGAAGGCTATGGTGGTCCTTGGAATGCTCTGGTGAGAGTGTTACCTGGAGATCCAACACGTTCCCTGACCCGTCCTTCCGAGGTGGTTGCAGTAGGAATGTGCCCTCTGCTGACTTCCCGGGGAACTGCTGGTCCATCCTGGGGAAGAACTGTGTTGCCTGATCAGCCCCGATGCGAGGCTCAGAGATTGGCCTTCTCGGCAGGGTCATCCCCTTGCTTCATGCTTTGATGGGCTAGCCCCTGTGATGATGCTGAGAAAAGTCAGTAGACCCTACCCTCCAGGTGCTCACAGTCTGCCAGGGGCAGCAGGCAGAGAGACAGACAGACAGCAACTCTGCTATCCTATAGCAGCGATGTGCTGGGGCAGAAAAACCTCTGGGAACATAAGTAGTATCTTTAGAAGAATGACCTTGAATCTGCTCAAATATGAACCTGGTGATTTGTGAGCACTCAGAACTACTGTATCATGACTCGTCAGTGCATGGCGGCCAGGGAATCACCCCGGGCGAGAGAGGAGCCGGCCGGAGGCTGACTGCACCGTCACCTGCTCCAGGCCAGGGGACTCTGCGTCCGGCACAGGGAGTGCTGCTCGTGACCAGGTGTCACAGCGCAGACCCTGCTCAGGGCTTTCAGGACAGGAGGGACCTGGAGCGTGGGGAAAGGCGGCAGCAAAGGCAGGGGAAGCAGCACAGCCAAGACTCAGTGCAAACAAAATGACAATAATAAGAATTATGACAAAAGCTACCACAAATTGACACTTTATATGCATTATCACATTTAAGCCTCAGGCAGGTAGATGCTAATATCCTCACTATTTTAAATGAGGAAATGAAATCCAGAAGGGAGACATGTACCCCAAAGTTGTACCCGTCTGTAGTTTGTACCAGAACTGGGGGATGGCCATCCACACAACCCATCACCTTCCAGGGATACCACACAGCCCTGGGGAAGTTCAAGTCATGCCTGGAAGGGTCCAGTTCCTCCAATGGGCTAAGTGACCGCAGTAGCAAATGACTCCAAAATCTCTATGGCTTCATGCTTAAACGTTTATTTTTCTCACACGAAGTTGGGGGTGGGGAGAGGAGGGATTTCTGCCTAGAATGCCATAGGCCACCAGAGCAGAGAAAGAAAAAGGCTGGAGTGCCTTGCAGGGCGTTTTACCAGAGCTGCCGCTTACTTTCTCTCACATCTCATTGGCCAGATGCAGTCACATGGCCTTGCCTTCAAGTGGCAAAGGGGAGCTGGGACGTGCAGGATGCCCTGGAAGGGAAGAACAGGATTTGACTGAAAAGGCACGTGACTGCAAAAAAGGAGTCCCTTTGGGGAGTAACAAGAGGTGATCCTGAGTAAAATGTAGGCTGGAGGGGACCGCTCACCCATTCACCCAGCAGGGACTTACAGGGCATAGGCCTAGGTTCTGGGATTCAGGGATAAGGCTCGCTCAGCTCACGGTCACTGCACTAGGATAACTATGCTACCACCTCATGAGCACTGTCGGAGCCTCCTGGGGACTTTGATGAGGGAAGACGAGACAGCCTCAGGAGGGAACCGTGAAAGGTTGGCATGCAGGTGATGGAGACAGAGATGAAGCTGTCAGATGGGTAGGGGCCACAACGTAAGGGACGTACGTGCGTCAGTGTCACCATAGTGTTCATGAGACGTCCACCTCCCATCATGGCCAGGCACAGAACAAGGAACTCTTATAAAGACATACAAGTCATCTCAGAGAAAAGCTCAAATGGATAGATTTTTCCTTATGCTCAGGAAACATACTCAGTCTCCTTCATGGTAAGAGAAATGCAAACTTAAACTACACTAAGATGGTATGTTTATCACCTACCAGATTGGCCAAAGTCCCCAAGTTTGGCAGCATGCGCTGTTGTTGAGGCTTTGAGAAAAGAGGCGTTCTCACACACTGCGAGAGGGCGTGCATATTGCTATAATCCCAAGCCAGGGGAGATTTGGCAACATTTGTCAAAATTTAAATGCATATACTCCTTGATCTAGCAATTTCATTTGTAGGGAATAACTCTACAGATATATTTACACATTTATAAAATGTTATGAGTACAAGGCTATTCATTGTGGCATTATTAGAGAAAAACTAAAAAAACAACCCAAAGGTCATATAAGAAGAATGGTTAATAACTAATTTATTGATATTAAAAAATACTATACGGCTGTATAAAAGAATAAGGAAGCTTACAGAAAGAGTTGCAAGATATAAGCTAGATGAAAAAAAGCAAAGGTATAGTATTAGGCATAATATGTAAAGAAGTTACCCTTAAGAAAAGAGAATAATGGAAATCAATATTCATTGATTATATATTCATAAGAATAATTTGTTAGGTAGGCTAGGTTATGCTGCAGTAACAAGTGGCTTATTATTTTTCAGTGGCTTATGTAACAACTATTTTTTTATTGTTCACACCGCATGTCCATTATAGATGGGCTGTAGCTCTGATTCATAGCACCCTCCCTGTGAGACCCAGGCTAACGGACCAGCCCCTGAGGGAACTGTGCGGGTTTCCTGGCAGAGGGAACATGACACACTAAACCATGAACTGGCTATTATCCCACCTGGGTATCAACCAGACAACCCTCTGCCCACATTTTGGTGGCCAAGCAAGTCACTTGACCACTACTGAGTGCAACAGGGCAGAAAATATATATCCAGCAGGGAAGAGGGCTGTAAGTCACATGATCAAGCCTGTTGACAATAGGACAGGCATGGATAAGCCTCTCGCCAGGAAGGGGGGCAACTCATTATGAACAAGAATGGGATTTGTCGCTAAGAAATTAGTATAACCATGATTACCTGTGGGATGAGCTTGGAGAAGGTGGTGGATAGGAGATAGACATAAGATGGACACTTTCACTTAACACATACGTCCATTTGAACCAGGTGGATATATTATCTATTCAAAAAGTAACAGTTGCCAGTTAGGTACATAAAAATATATTCATGTCCTTCTTTCCCATCACACAAGCATTGGAAACATAATCTGAACCCACAGATATGATCCTGACATCTTATTAATAGCAGTTCCGAGAGTGGCTCGAGGGTTAGAACAGTCGCCTGTGCACACAGCTGCTGCACGGGCAGACAGTTTGGAGATGCCGGTGCTGGCCTCCGTGGCCTCTTCATGGAGATGGAGGGTCTCCGTGGGACTGGGTACATTGTGGTCATTCTCTCCTGTCTTCCAGTATCACTTCAACCCCTCGCAGTCCGTCCTGGTGATGGAAGGTGACGACATCGGGAACATCAACCGCGCCCTGCAGAAGGTCTCCTACATCAACTCCAGGCAGTTCCCCACCGCGGGTGTGCGGCGCCTCAAAGTCTCGTCCAAAGTCCAGTGAGTGGAGGCCAGCGGCCTGGGCCCGGCTGAGGCAGCGGGATGGTCCCCCTGCAAAACAGGACTCGCCTCTCGCAGTGTCCCCAGCTTCGCTGCCAGCCCTCTGAGGAGGCCCCAGTAGATCTTTATTCTCCTGTTTTCTTCTTAAAGAAAATATTCTGTTTTGCCAACTCAGATGCCTGGCAGGCACTGTTTTTCTATAAATTCTCAGGGGCTGGGTTTTAAGTGGTGTCATTTAAGGGTACAGCATGTGGTACGTAGTAGGTGCTTGACCAATGTATATTCATTAAATTAAGGAGCCCAGCCTTGACGTGCGCCTAAATAGCATGAGTGCGAGAGGAAGAGAAGACACGCTCTTGTCCCCAGGGAGCGGAGGTAATTTAAGGAGATGAGACTGTTACTGAAGCCTGTGGATAACTCCCTTACTCACCTGTCAATCACTCTTAGCCACAGCAGCTGCCACAGACGACTAGAAAGGGGACCCCAGAAAAATTCCTGGGAGGTGAAAGGGTATCTCCTGATACCTGGAGCCAGGAGAGGGACCCAGAAAGACAGGAGCAAGGGTGGGAAATGGGGTTTGCTGATTGCCCGTTGCTGGGTTCTGGGAGAGGTGCCCGGATAAAGCCCACAGACAGCAATTATGTTCAATAGTCCTATGGATGGACGGGCTCCCCCATCCTCTCCAAAGGCCGTCCCTGGAGGCCTGGGATACGGACCAGGCACCTCCAAGTCAGCTTCACTTTACCGTGTAGAGGGCCCAGACTGGCCAGTCTTCAGCTCTAGAACCAGGTTTCCTTAAACTGGCAAGGGAAAGGGTATCCTCTATGAACTGGGGGGTTGGAGCAGCAAAAGCCAAAGAAAACTGGGACCAGGAACCCAGCGCCATTCCCACACCTCACCCACCCAGCGACGAAGACGGGAGCTCGACATGGGATCCACCCAGCTTACTACCCTTTCCTCGGGGACTTTCCAGGGGAGGCAGAGGATGGCTGCCACAGCTGGAGCCCGCCCAGTATTCCCAGAGCATCCGCCTGGGCTCCCCACTGTAGCCTCGGGCTTGGCCGAGATGCCCAGCAGAGATGCCAATGGCAGGCACACCGGACCAGGTCTCAGGAGGGCATCAAGTCTGTCAACATTGACTGAGCTCCAACCATGATGCAGGCTCTGGGTCCGCTTCTCACTATAAGTTGTCACATTTAATCCTTCCTGTTATAAGTAATTAATTGTTCTATAGGTGAAGAACAGTGGGCTATTCTAACGTCATTCCCATTCTATAGATGCAGAAGCTGAGGTTCCCAGGGGGTTGAGCACTGTGCTCAGAGTCACCCAGCCCAGGTGGGGCAGCCAGGCCAGGGACCCTTGTCTAATTTCCCAGGCTTTGCTCTTGTCACCACACCATTCTGCCCCCTGGGTATTCTGTGTGTATCAGGGGAAATACATGTGGTTACAGTGGCGCTCTGCTGGCACACCTGGAACAAGTGCGCTTGTGTGATATCCTCAGAGATCACAGATGGGCGGTGGCAGGAGAGTTTAGCCCTTCGGTCTCAATAAGGTGGCTGTAACCAACCAGTTAGACAACAATTTGCTTACCAACTCCTAATGCACAAGACAAGCAGTTGCCATCTAATTAATGCTGCCATTGATTACTTTGTTAAAGGATAATTAAAGGTTTCATGGTTACTTGTTGCTGGGATAGAAGATTCCCATTTCTCCCAGGAGCCAATCTTACTAAGTCCCTAGATTGCTAGTCGTTCTGACTATAATGTGTCTTTAAACTTAAACGTCTGCTGCCATCCCGGAGCCTTGCAGGCAATCAGGATGTCTTGGTGGGGGGAAGGACGGGGGGCGGGGAGGTAGGAAGAGGTGTCTGCATCCCTGCCCATGGATGCCTGATGGGTGGTTCCATCATGTGCTTCCCAGGTGCTTTGGAGAAGACGTGTGCATCAGCATCCCCGACATGGACGCCTACGTGATGGTGCTGCAGGCCATGGAGCCCCAGATCACCCTCCACGGCACGGACCGCCTCTGGAGACCCGCCGCCCAGTTCCAAAGTGCCCGAGGCGTGACCCTCTTCCCCGACATCAAGATCGTGAGCACCTTCGCCAAAGCCGAGGCCCCAGGTGACTTGAAGCCCACAGGTACCGGTGCATCCTGGGTTGTGGGCAGTGGGCCTTAAGCTCTCACAGCCACATCAAATCTCACTTCAGGACCACAGTATGGGTACCCCATAGCGAGGTAGTGACAATAGCAAAACAAGCAACCCCACCCGGCAACAACACAGATAAATACAGGAGGGGAATGAATGGCTCAGCGAGTCACCTACCCCCACATACGTGCTGTGTTGTTGGAGGAAAGGCATTTATGCTAAATGGTAAGTGACAAAAAAACAAGATGCAAATTACAGAGTATCTATGCATAGACTGATCTCAACCACATAAAGGAAAACGTAACACAGAAAAGTGCCCACGGGAAGCACGCCTTAAACTAACAGTGACATGCTCGCTTGGAGAAGCCTGGGGCTGGGGGTTCTGCTCCCCTTCAGTTGTCGGCAACTGCAGAATGTTCTATAGTGAGTGCGATTATTTTGATGATCAGAGGAAAAGTGGAAGAAGCACAGAGAAAAACACATAACTGCCTCCTAATATATACAAGCAAAAGACTTGTTTGCAATTTTACTCTGAGCTGAGCTCTCAGGAAACTTCCCAGTTGCTCCTTCCAACCATTTCATTATTGGAAGGGCTGTTTGGTGAAAGTAGGTAATTGGCATTTATCTGCCAGGGAGAAACACTTAGTTGAAAAACAGCTACAGGATATGCTGCTGGCTTGAGGGAGGTGGAGGAAGGCAGGGAAAAGAAAGAGAAGCGGGAGGGAGGGAGAAGAAAGGGAGGGAGATCTGGGGTTCAGATCTACAGGAAACACCCCTTTGAAAATTGTCCTTTGCTGCCCCCTCCAAAGGCGGCTGCTAATGATGTTTGGGTGCCAGTGGGCCCGAGTCCCCAGGGGCTGCTTCTGCAGTAATCCTAATTACCTGCTGCCTTAAGCCACCCTGGCCCCTGGCCAATGGGTAGTGGGGGTTCACAAAGCAGCCTTCTTAGCTTACAAAACAGGTGGAGTTTTACCGCCTGTCAGGCAGGGTGGTTCCCTAGTTACACTCCAAGGTGCATTAAGTCAGTGACCTTCCCCTTCATCTTATTTGTGCCTAAAATCAGACAGAAAAGGGCCTCTGACCTCAGCGGTCTCCGGCCATAACTGAGAGCGGCTGGATTTGCTAGGCCTGATAGCAACACATGGGCAAGGCGGGGGAAAGCAATTGTCTGGGTCCCTATCTTACCTTCTGTTTATGAGAGATGCATGCAGAGCACAGGGCCAAGTGCCCGAGACCCATATCCGTACTTTTAAAAATTTACTCCTATTGTTAGGATAGTCATTATCATGGTGCCTTCAACAAGCAGGCTAACGGCATTTGCCACTAGGCCTGAAGGACCCACTCTAGCATCTACTGCCCCCATTGACCCACTCTGTCCTGTTTCCTCCCCCTTGCATGGCCCCCCTCTCTCACACACATTTCCGTGTCAGTTCATATGTTTGCTCTTTCTCTGCCCTCTGCCTGGGAGGTTCCCCTCGCGCCATCCTCGTCATGGCTGGCAAACATCTCGGCCTTCCACACCCCCTCCAGAAGGCCTCCTCCACCACCACCCCGACCCCAGCCTGGGTCAGGTCTCCTGCTCTGTACCCCCACCCACCAGTGCTGCACTCTAGCACGGCGGTCGCCAGCCGGTGTTCTGAAAGGTTGGCGACGCTGGTTTAAGGAAACCTCTAGCACACAACTTTGGCCATGTGTTTACTGAACGCCCCCAGGAGCTCCACGAGGGCTTGGCCATGGCTGATTCTGCTCCGAGTCCCTGAGCCCACACAGTCTCTTCAGCACAGTGGGAAGCAAGGAAAGTGCAGATGGAACATACTACCCACACGCAAGCACAGGGAACAGTGAGAAAAGGGCCCCCTCCCCAGTGTGAGCCATCAGTCAGCCACATGGGGAGGTGGAGCAAGGATGCCCTGGCCTAACCCAACCTGATGGGAAGCTGGCAGAAAAAGCCCGGAAACCAGGAGAAGACCATTTGAAATAGAGATACACGTGCACCATTGCTAATGATAGACCTTGTCTTAAATGTATATTTTGTTTGTTTTTAATATATTTTTATTTCAGAGAGGAAGGGAGAGGGAGAGAGAGAGAGATAGAAACATCAATGATGACAGAGAATCATCGATTGGCTGCCTCCTGCACTCCCCACATTGGGGATCGAGCCCGTAATAAGATATGTGTCCTGACTGGGAATCGAACCATAACCCTGGTTCATAGATCAATGCTCAACCTCTGAGCCACACTGGCCTGGCTTAAGTGTATATTAATGTGCTTTTAGACTTTGCTGATGATACGTGAAGCCATTGAGATTGGCAAGCATTTAAAAATTAAGCATCTGAAAGTGCTTATAATAACAGCCATCTAGGGAGAGGGAACGATACTTTTGATATCACAAAAAATATATACTTATTTAACATAATTCTCATCTTTAGTGAATCCTTTTTAATTTCTATTTTTATAAATGTTTTATAATGCACAAAGTATATTAGTCTTCATAAATAAATAAGTACACTTATTTCAGTGATCTCAGTTCACACATTTCCATGAACAAGCTGCAAGATCAAAAACATTTGGAGACTACTGGCCCAGAGGTGAAGAGTTTACCAACTGTGGAGTCAGAAAGTCATGGTTTCTGTCCAGCTCCTCCCCTCCTATCTGTGTGATCCTGTGTGAGGGGTAATGCACTCTACCCCTCATACCTTCCATTTCCCATCAGTAACATGGAATAACAACAGCACCCCCTCCAATGTCTGTTAGGATTTCATTTGCATAATGCCTGGTACGTAGCAATCACTCCATACATTCCAATCACTTTCATTTCAAGGTGAAGTTTTAAGTTAGTACTGCCAGCCTGCCCAGCATTCAAATGCTCAGACATACCCTTGGGGAATTTAGGGCCCAAAATAATCAATCAGGGCCAATTTACCTAAGCATTTAACTACAGTAACAGTTTCGCTCCATTCGAGCCATGTGTAGCAATGCTGCTCCATGCCAGGGCCTGGGCTGGGTACTGAGGTCTCATCATAAAAAGTGCTTCTGCCCCTAAGGACCTCAGAGTCTACTGGGGGCGACAGATACACACCACGACCACCTGGAGAAAGCTGCATGAGTGAGTGGGGAGGGATGCTTCACTCTGGCCTCAAATGAGAGCTGTTGCTTATTGAGCACCTACTATGTGCCCGACACTGTTTCAACCCTCTCAAGATCCTTGCCCTCTTTACAGGTGAGGGAATTGAGAGGCAGGTATTTCTCCAACACTGCACAGCTTCTCAGTCGCAGCACTGGTATTCAGATTCACATCTTGACGACTGTATTCCTGTCTACACACACACTCATGCTGTCCAACCTTAGGAGCTGCTGGACTTCCATCCCAGCAGTGGAGGTTGTACCTAGGGCTACACACCCTCTTCTGACCCAGCCCTCACCTGGGGTGCAGTCACAGAGGAAGGAGATGATGCCTAATCTTCCTCTGCTGTCTGAGTGGTCCTCACGCCTGTTTCCCTGGTGTTGGTCTCCCCGCAGCCCCCAAATCAGCAGTCTTAGAGGAAATGCTTCACAACTTAGATTTCTGTGACATTTTGGTGCTGGGAGGGGACTTGGATCCAAGACAGGAGTGCTTGGAGCTTAACCACAGTGAGCTCCACCAGCGCCACCTCGACGCCACCAACTCCACGGCAGGCTACTCCATCTACGGTAAGCACGCCCAGCCCCTTCTCCTGGTGGTCTCCTCCTACAGTGGCCTGGTCCAGGGAGGCACTCCATCCCCATGGTGTCAGGTGGGGGTCCTTGACCGCAGAGCATGGACTTCTGGCCCTTCCTTTGTGAGCTACTCCAGCATTTTGAGAACCTGGACCACATCCCCACTATTGGGAGAATCTCCTGTAGAAACAGATATTATAGCAACATTTGGCAAGTGAGGCCACACGTTGTGGAAATCCTGTGGGTCTGTTTCATTAGCTCCTTAGAACTTTTGCTTCAATACGTTGTCTGCCCCTAAATATCTCAAGCTCTCAGCCTGGCCAAATTCAGGAGACGGACCAGCCCCCGCAGCTGCAGCCTGTCTCCCCGTCTCCTTCTCTGCCTGTTTGAGACAGGTGTGGTCTCTTGGCAGGCGTGGGCTCCATGAGCCGCTATGAGCAGGTGCTACGTCACATCCGCTACCGCAACTGGCGTCCGGCTTCGCTCGAGTCCCGGCGGTTCAGGATCAAATGCTCAGAACTCAACGGGCGCTACACCAGCAACGAGTTCAACTTGGAGGTGAGCGCACCCTGCGGTTGTAAGGGAAGCCCAGGCTCATCCATTCTTTCCCTCACGTATTCGGGAGGACTGCTGCCACTGGCCCACCTGCCACTGGTCACCAGCCCCTCTCCCTCCTCGCCCAGGTCAGCCTCCTCCATGAGGTCAGAGTCTCGGACAATGAGCACGTCAACCACCTCATCGTGCAGCCTCCCTTCCTCCAGTCCATCCACCACCCCGAGTCCCAGACTAGCGTCCAGCGCAGTGCAGGTACGTCACCTGGCAGGAGAGACCTCAGGACAACAGGTAACTCAAGACCATCCACTAAAAAGACACTTAGGGTGCAGCAGGCATGGGTGCCCAGACCTGAGGGAGGGACCTGATAATGGGGAAGCTGTGGACCCTGGCTCTGAGGCACTCACACAGCCTCCAAAGGGAACTGGTCAGGTAAACAAGTTACAGACAAACGTAATAACAGAGGTTAGTACAAAGGACTGGGGTAAAATTTTGCAAATCCTCTTATTTTTATATTTTTTAATCTTTATTGTTGAGAGTATTACAGATGTCCCCCTTTTTCTCATTGCCCCCCCTCCACCCGGTTTCCGCCCTACCCCAGGCCTTCACCACCTACTGTCTGTGTCCATAGGTAGGATCTCGCCCCAACCTCCCTCCCCTTCCCTCTGAGATTTGTCAGTCTGTTCCAGGCCTCTGATTCTATTTTATTCGCCAGTTTATTTTGTTCATTAAATTACTTGTTCGTTTATTTTTAGATTCAATTGTTAATAGCCATGTATTTGTTGCCATTTTATTCATATTTTTTTAAATCTCCTCTTCTTCCTCTTCAAAGAATACCCTTCAACATGTCATGCAATACTGGGTTGGTGCTGATGAACTCCTTTAGCTTTTTGTTTATGAAGCTCTTTATCTGACCCTCAATTCTAAATGAGAGCTTTGCTGGGTAATCTTGGTAGTAGGTCCTTGCTGTTCATTACATTGAATATTTCTTGCCACTCCCTTCTGCCCTTGTGTAGAGGTGTCCTGTAGGGCTCAGTGGCTCAGTCTCCCCAGTCACCTGAGCTGGGCACTCTAGGTACACCCTTGTGTGAGCTGTGTGCACAGTCTTGTAGTTGAGCCTTGATTGCTGTTGGCATCACTGGGAGGAGTTGACCTCCAGGCTAATTGGCTGTGAGGACCAGCTGTGACTATAGTAGGAGAGCTGCTGTGCAGGGAACACCCCTGTGGAGCAGGACTTGATTCAGTGGGGCATTGGTGCTCACTGAGTCTGCCCCTTGAGTGTGTTGCTTGTGGATGTGTAGAGTTGGAATATGCTATAGTCTGAAGCTGTCCACTGGGCACACTGGCTCTAGGGCCTCCAGGGTGGTGCAAAGTCAGCCACTGCCTGGGGCCCCCCAGCAAAAGCTACAGAGGGATTGTCAGACAACTGCTATTTGCTATTTGTATTGGGGGTGCCCAGGCGAGGCCCAGCTGTGAAGGAAGGCAGGCTGGTGCTAGTGCCGGGTCTTGATTGATAGGTTTGGGGCACACTGTCACCAGCTGCAGCTTGAGAGATTTTAGCAAAGTCTGAAGCCTGAGCCAGGACAGGCCATTCTTATGGAAAAGCTGCTGCAAATTGGGTGGAGTGGGGTTCCTGGGAATTCCCAGTGTGGGCCAAGCTGGTGGAGACTCAGATATGGCTGACAGCTCTGGGACCAGAGAGGTCCCAGCACAGGAACAAAGACCCCTGTCTGGGAGAAAGCCGCCCGAGTTCCTGCCCCGATGCCAGACTATCCAGTTCCTCCTCGTATGTATCTAGGTCCCCCAGAGCCCAGTGCTAGAGCTCAGAGGGCATGAGTCCAAGTACATTCCTGCATTGGCCTTTAAAAGGAACAGCTGGGTCTTCAGCAGCCTGTGTCACTGAGCCCCAATCCCTGCTGGTTTTTACACCCCGTAGTTTTGAGGACTTCTCTTCCCAGCTCTGAGACCCTGAGCTGGTTGGCTGGTGTGTGCTGGGACCCCTTGCTCCTCACAGGCGGCCTCCACAGAGTTGGTCTTCCTCTCCACCCCTCCTACCAGTCTCAACGTGCTTTCTTCTTTACTTCTCTAGTTGTAGTATTTCCATTCATCCAGCTTTCAGATGGTTCTGAATGATTGTTCTGTATTTTAGTTGTGATTAAGTTATTACATATGTGTCCCTATCCCCACATTACCCCCCACCCCCTGTTGTCTGTGTCCATTGGCTAGGCCTCTATACTTGCATATAAGTCCTTGGTTGGTTTCTCCCCCTTATCCCCACCCTCCCCTCTGAGGTTTGATGGTCTGATCCAGTGGTTCCAGCCAAGGTTGCGAACCGTGGTCTCATCGATGCTTCTGTCTCTGTTAGTTGTAATTTTGATGTGTTGTGGGAGGTGGCGAGAACAGGCATTTACCTATGCCTTGGTTCTGCAAGTCCTTTTAGGTCCAACTCAAAGCCACATTCTGTATGAGGCTTTCTTTGAACCCCTTACATATGCTCACATACATACACATGTGCACCACACTGCAAAGTCCCCTACCTGTACTCTGTCCCAGCACTTGCCATATTGTATTATTACTGTGTTGTTCCTGCTAAACTCCATAGTACCTGGCTCTCAGTGAAAGCTTTCCTATAATTTGAGGGGGGAAAGCAAGAGATAGAAAAGAACTTGCATTTATTGAGTGCCTACTCTGTGCCTATGTGGAAGTGCACATAGATCATTTCATTTGCTCCTCACAACTACCCCTGGGATAGGAATTCTTAAGCCCATCATTTGGATGACGAATGGGAAGCCCAAAGAAAGGTGCTGACCCAGAGTTCTACAGCTGGAAAGGGGGAGGGCAGATTTTAGCCTCTGCATGGGTGTTTCACGCAGGCTCCATGGTGACGTAGAGTGAGCGAGTCCTCCATGTCACGTGGATTCCTTCCTCATTCCAGTGGTCCCGAGCATTGCCACGGTGGTCGTCATCATCTCCGTGTGCATGCTAGTGTTCGTGGTGGCCATGGGCGTGCACCGGGTCCGGGTCGCCCACCAGCACTTCACCCAGGAGACCGAGGCTGCCAAGGAGGTTGAGATGGACTGGGACGACTCTGCGCTCACTATCACAGTCAACCCCATGGAGGTAATCCTCACACCAGGGCGGGAGCTTCACTAGGATGCTTCCCCTCCACCCTCTATCTTTCTTGTGCCAGAAGCCCTGCCCCGTCTTACCCAGCCCCCTCGGCCTGAAAGGACCATCCTTTCCCATCAGCTGTACTCACTGGTTAAAAACATGTGAATTGCTCTCACCCTGCAAGCAGAACCAGACATTTCTGAAGGCGAGCAGCCATGTGGTGTCTATCGGTTGCCACCCCCGTTAGATTTAGCTGGGAGCTAACACTTAGGGACTCAGTATTGAATTTTTGATTAATTAACAGTGCAAATTAAATGGCTTTGCTCCATGCTGCCTGCAGAGCTCATTTAAAGGCTCAGAATAGGTTAAAACAGAAACACAACATTAATAGCTGCCATTTATCGAGCCCCCCATTATGCCAGACACTGCACAGCGTGCTCTCTATGCGCATTCTCATTCAATCTTCCACCCACCTGTGAAGTCGGAGGCATCACCCTCATCTGCCAAGGCGCAAACCGGCTCGGAGAGGGAAGTGCTCACACCCCCATAGCTGGCAGTGGTGGTGCCATTTTCAGACTCCAGGTTGCCGGATTCTAATGTTCAGATCTTGCCAGTTAGCCAGCAGACCCCAGAACCCACCCATGAATGTCCAAAGCCCCTGCTCTGGGCATATGAGTATCAAGGGAAGCCATGGCATCTTGCCCGTTAGTCTGCCCGTGGGCACTGAGTGGAGGTGGAGCCACTGAGACATGAGAAGGTTATCCAGGCCTCATCCTCAGTGTCCCCCGCAACTGGCCTTATGCTCTGATGTTAAAGCCTCCCAGTCGATGTGGCTCAGCACGTGCAGTGGGTCATGCTGAGCCACCACTGTGGAGACACCAGCATCTCCACCCTAGAAGAGCCGAGCCCTCGGTGTGGGAAATAGCCACCAATCCTGGATCAGTCTCAGTACCAAACCAGCATGTGCCTTCCCAGGGCTAACCTGGTGATGCCAGCAGTCAGTGAAGCCTGAGTAACGAGAGCCGAGGGGGCTGGAGGTTCAGGGAAGACTTCTTGGAGGAGGCTGGCTTAAGGGAGGCCATGAAGAATGGGTAGGATTTGGGGGAGGCAATGGTGGAAGTGAAGACACTCCACAGATGGGATGTGGCCAAGGAGGGGCACATGTCTTTTATGGCCGGTTCATCAAAGCATACATCCAGAAAGACTTGGCTAGAATCACAAAAACTGGGGGCAGCAGAGATAGGACTAGGCCAGTGATGGCGAACCTTTTGAGCTCGGCGTGTCAGCATTTTGAAAAACCCTAACTTAACTCTGGTGCCGTGTCACGTATAGAAATTTTTTGATATTTGCAACCATAGTAAAACAAAGACTTATATTTTTGATATTTAGTTTATATATTTAAATGCCATTTAACAAAGAAAAATCAACCAAAAAAATGAGTTCACGTGTCACCTCTGACACGCGTGTCATAGGTTCGCCATCACTGGACTAGGGACTCAGAGGGCGAGGGGCAAACATGAAAAATGAGGGCCGTGAACTTTGTCCCTCCCAGAGGAACACTTTTGAAGGGAAATACACCTGAGTCTTGGCTCAGATGACCTCCTGCTCCTGGAGACATTACATATCTACCTGAGGAAGAAGGACAAGCTGAACAACCATCCTCTCACTGAGAAGCAGACACTGAGGACTTGGCCAGCTCACGTCAACAGGCCCCAGTAATGCCAGAAAACAGACGTGGGCCTGAAAGTCTCACAAAGTGATGTGTGGAACTGGCTGAAAAGTCCAGAGTCTAAAACACACGCCTCACCTTGACCTCATGGCCTGGAATTAGCTGCTCTTTCTTGTCTGTGTCCTCGGCCCTCTGCTCTACCTTTCACCAGAGGACCTCCCTTCCAGGCCCACGGGTCAGCAGCAAGTGGAAGGGATGCCAAGGGGCCCTACATGTGGCCTCTCCGCAGCCCCTGACCGGCATTTCCCTTCTCTTCCCAACTCCCAGAAACACGAAGCACCAGGACACAGGGAAGATGAGATGGAGGAGGAAGTGGAAGAAGACATCAGCTCCAGCAGCAGCGACTCAGATGCCAGCGACGAGGAGGAGGTGGAGGGAGGGGCGGGCAGGGGCAGACAAGGGCAGAGCGGAGCCAGGCAAGCCCAGCTGGAGTGGGATGACTCCACCCTCCCCTACTAGCGCCCCTCCTTCTGTGCCCGCCCACTGTCCCTTTTGTAAGCCACAGCTAATGTATGTGAGTCTATCACTGTCGCCTCCGATTTCAATGACACTCTGGGCAGGTCTTCCCCAGCCTCCTGGAACCCGCCCTTCATGCGTGGGCACTCCCGTGCCCCAGCCCTGGGCTGGTTCCAAGAAGCCCAGCCTCATCCTCAGTGGGGACTTCGGGGTGGACTGTCCTGCCACGCCCACTGCTCCTGCCCCTGACTCCCGGGTCCTGTCATCTGCAGAGTTCTGCCTTTGCTCTTCTCTGCAGTCACCTCCCTGGGCTCCGTGTCCCCAAGACCCTGGGGTTCCAACTCACTGTGTGCACCAAACTCAGTTGTCTCTCCACACAGACCAGCGGGTTCTCCTTACCTGACTCTTCCTTTAGGCAGGGTGGTTGGACTTCACACACCTGAGATCTTGGTCCTCAGCACTTTAAAGGGAAGTCCTTGCTGAGGCGGGAACTAAGTTCACAGGGAGAGGCTCCACACTCATGCACGCACACACGCTCCCCAGTTTGCAGAGCCTTTCCCTTTGACCTACCTGAGACCATATAAGCGTATGTGCAAAGTCCAAAACCAGGGCCACCAGGCCTGGTCCCAGCCAATGCTCTCTGAGTCTGCCTGCCTGGGCAGCCGCTGAGACCCACATGACTTCCCTGCTGGGGGCTCCCACCCCATGAAACCACGGGATCCAGGAAGCATTCCACACAGACCAACATCTGTGAAAAGCCTGCAGCCAGGGATCAGAAGGGCTGACGGGGCACCACCATTGGGCTTCATGGTGGACACAGATCTGGGAGACAGGGCAGCCCCAGGTGGACAAGGCTCTCGCCACCCAGTCTTAGGATCCTTATCCCCTATGTCACACTGGTTTGTCTCTTAGGAAAACACATTCCTCTTGGATGTGTTAGAACAAGCGTGAACTGCATCAAGTCTAAAGCAAAAGTTTGAAAATTTAACTGCTAGGAATTAGAAACATTTGCTATAATAGCTGCTTCATTTTCTTTCCATTAAAAATAAAGGAGCAGCACTTTGGGTGGAGGGCAAATATAACTGAAAACCTAATTTCTTTTTTTTAATAAGGAAATCTCTTCCATCTCCCTCCTAACATGGACACCTTGTGGGGAAAACTGTTGCTATAGTAACTGGTCTGGGATCTTTTGTGGCCAAGAGAATAGCAGGCAAGAAGTAGGGCCATTAGAGGACGTCCGCGAGGCTCGGACGTCTCGGGCTTTGTCCTCGCATATGTGATCTGTCCCTGTCCTCCCAGTCTCCTCCAGCCCACTCCATATTGGCTTGGTACAGGCACAGGTCCCTTGTCACAGTGGCATTCAGATTCAAAAGTTCAGAATCTGTTCATTCTAACATCCCCCGCCCCCATTGAAACAGAGCTCCTGACGCTATGTCAATGTCCTCTCATCTGACCTTCACCCAGTGAGGACCCACCGTAAGCCTTTGCAGCCCCTGATTCCAGAAAACATCCTTTATGCAGCCCTTTCCATCGCCAAAAGTGCTTTTTGCATCTGTTCCTTCCTCTGAGCCTCGCAATAATTCTGTGGTCTCTGCTGTCAGGCACATTTCCATTGTGAGTAAACAGAGGTTCGGAGATTCCAGCATCTTGCTTAGAGTCATTCAGAGAGTAGACTAGACTGGACTCTCCACTTTCCACTTCGGGTCCAGTGCCCACCACCCTGATTCTACGTCTGCTCATCTTTACCCAGCTAACTGGCATTGCTAAGGACCTACTATGTGCTGAGCACTCGCCCAGCAACAGTGGGAAGGAATGGAGCTGAATAAGAGAAGCCCCGGGCCTCAGAGGACTTAATGGTGGCAGAGTAAAGCTAAAGGGCATGGAAATGATACAAGAGGCAGATGCAGAGGGAGGGAGAGAAGTCACAGGAACAAGAGGGACACGTCCACAAGCTCAACCAGCGCTCTTATTTTCCCTTAGGGAGAAACGCTGGCAGGAGTTTGGGGTTTTATATTCATTGACTGGAAACAGACACCTCTGTGAATTCTCCCAACCAAACAGCCTTTTCTCCCCTGCTGTGTCCACACATCTACAGGGAGAAAGCCTGTAGGACTGCGTAGTCCTCACATTACCCCCGTCTCCGGGTGGCTGTGTCACTCATTCATGGCCGAGTGAGCGGTCTGGGACATGTCAAATCTGTGGGGGAGGGAGCAAGGGATTGTGGCACTTGGCTAGGGAGCAGAGTCATGGACTAGACTTACATGCAGAGAAACAACAGGTCATCAAAGTCCTTTCCGTCAACACCTGCTGAGAAAAGTCACACTGCGCCAGTTCAGAGAGGAGGCACTAGAAATGGTGCTGCTGGGTCAAAGGCCATTTGTCATGTCCCCAGCACCCTACTCATTACCGCGGTGAGAACAGGAAGGGGCGGTTATGTAAAAGCAACAGAAGTGTCAGGGATTATCCAGGTGAGTGGCGAGTAATGCCACTTGCCCTCCACCAGATACTCTGTCCACAGTGGAAAAGGTCATGGTCAAACCAGCAATTCCCAGTCTCTCTATGCTGGCACCCTGGAACCAAACTGCCAGGTGACCTGCACACGCTGTGACCTCTCATCCAATGTCACCAGTGGCAGATGCAGCCTTGAACCCAGGAGGAACAGCTGACTGGTTTGGCCAGCCCATTGCTTGTCTTTCCAACTCCACCATCAGGCTCTGCTCTCTGAAGCTTGAAAATAGGCTAATGATACCTCTCCAGTGGTTCAGGTGACGGGGAGGAAGAGGAGGAGGGGTAAGAGGTTGAGAGAGAAAAGGCCAGCACAGAATGTATTGCCCTAATGGAGTAAAGCAAGCAAGGAGCCGGCCACCTGTCTTAAAGAATGCTAAAAGTACATATATTCTTGTAGGTATAATCAAAGGCTATAAATCTGACCAAAGCCCAAATTCATCTACATAACAAAAATGTGACTTCAGTGAGACCTTTTTCCCCATCACTTTCCTGAATATACTCAACCCCATCCAGCAGGCATAGGCCACACATCTGCAAGTAGCAAGGCGGTACCTGAGCACCGGGACCCTCCAGGGAGCGCGCTCCTAGTGGGGAGCAGTGTTCTTTCTCCTCTTCTGTACGTAACACGTATGGCAGCGCTCCGCAAGCTTTATCTGTAAAGAGCCAGAAAGGGACTATTTAGGGGTTTGCAAGCCACGTGGTCTCTGTTGCAAGTATTCCCCCCGTCCTTGTAGCATGAAACCAGCCACAGACTTTGCTTAAACAAATGACTATGAACACATTCCAAAAATAACTTTTATGAACACTGAAAATTCAGGCAAATTTAATTCATATTATTTTCACATGTCACGACATTTTATTGTTCTTTTCATTATGATTTTCAACCATTTAAAATTGGAAAAACTTTCCTGAGCCGACGGGCCATATAAAACCGATAAGGTGGCCAGATTTGGCCCTTGGGACGTAGTGTGCACACGCCTGCCCTGCGTGTGTGGAAATGGCTATCTTAGACCGTCCCTTAAACTACTCAGTGGCCTTTGCCTCTAAAAGGAACCACAGACACACCACGGTGTCTACTTATGCTGTTTTAAAAGTCTGTCCTAAAGAAAATGAAAGCAAAAAAACACACGTTACTTGTTGAATTGACTCAAATGCAGGTGAGCATTTGAGCTGAAGGCCCTGGGTCCAGGCACTGACTTACCACTGAGCACTAACCCCACTGAGCTGAGGGCTAACTCCCAGGCTCATGGCCTTTTCTGCAAGAGGCAGCCCATCCTGACTTCTAAGCGGGAGTGTTAGTTATCTCAGGCTGATTTCCATTTCAGCCCAGCTCATGCCATCGCTCTGAAAGTGATTCTAAAGACTTGTGACTGTTTGAATCAATAGGGATGTAATCAGTAGAGAGCCCGACCCAGCACACTTCAAAATAACAGTATTCTTGGCTCTATGGTTCAATATTAGCAAGAGGAAGAAAAAAAGGGCTTCTTAACCATCCCTCGTTTAAATGAGACACATCACTTTTTTAAAAAAAAAAAGTGAGGGAATGGTTCTAATTCTTTGAAAGGATTGACCAGTGCAAAGTAGATGCTTTTCAAGTAAGATCATCCTCAGGCCTCTGGGAGACCCTCAAAGCCTCCTGCAGGGTATTCCGGTGGGCTTCCCGGCGGCACGCGCTCTCTATCTGCCTCAGATGTTGATCGAGGCTGACAAGCCAAAGCCCTGGGCACAGTTTAGTTTTCATGGAACTGCTTTCCCTTGCCCAGCTTTAGGCAAAGGAAATGAGCAACGAAAGTGTGAGGTCGGCTCCAGCACCTTCAGTTCCAGGTCTTTGTTTGCGTTCCTTCATAAATGTATTCTGTGCCTGCTTTAAGGGTCTTGCTCTAACTCCTTTTGGCACTGGCTGCAAAGGACAGTTGGCTTTGCCAGGGCTGTGGATTTGAAGCCACTCTTGACTTTCCCGGGGAGATAAAAAGGGACAGAAGAACTTACCTCCACCAGCACCGCAGAAAGCTCTCCTGCATTGCCTGTGAGCTATCAGTGAACAGATGGGATTCTGTGTTTGCAGCTATGCTCCATGTAATTCAGCAAATCCTTCCTGGGCACCTGGGGTGTGCCAGGCCCTGTGCCAGACAGAGGAAGAGAGGAAGAGTTAGGCATGTCTCTGCCCATAAGGAGCTCCTGGTCTTGCAAGCTGTTGGGACGTTTCCTTTGCAGTGTTAAGGGGCTGTCTAGGGGGAGTCGGGACTGTTGGGGACAGAAGTTGGGGGTGGGACCAGGTGGGGTAACTTGCTTTGGCCATTCTCCAAAGCCAGGTGGTCAGTGTAATGCTGGGAGCCCTGACGCACATCGCTGGGCCAGCTGAGGCGCTCCCCGGGGAAGCAGGCCATGCTGCCCTGTGTTTCAGACTCATTCACGGGGTTGAAATAACTTGGCTGAGAGTCAGTGACACTAGGCGGGAATTAGGAAGGGTGACCAGGTCCAGGGCTGGCAAGACCCAAGGCCAGAAGCCACCTGACAGGAAGGAGCAGCTCTGAGTCCCCACGTTGTAGCTGAGGAGGAAAAGAGGACCCGACTCCCGAGGACCTTTTGGGGGTTCACACTGGACCCTGTGGAGCAGAGGCTCTGAAAGCGCGTGCCTGGGCGGCAGCAGCAGCTCCACCAAGACCTACTGAGTGGGAAATCCCGGGGTGGGGCCCAGCCATCCGAGTTTTAAGGAGCTCTCGGGTTCTGATGCCCACTAAGGTTTGAGGACCACTGACACAGGATGAGGAGAGTGACTTAAGCTGGCTTTGGGAAGAAAGGACCATTAGCAAGATAAAACGCTCAACCACTAGTGTGGTGAGGAGAGGGGCCTGCTAGGCTCCAGGGCACACTTCCGGAGGCGGGGTTTCACAGAACCCTGGTCCTAGTCCCAGTCCCAAGCCTCCCCTTGGGCAGGACCCGCTTCCTGCTGGTCTGGCCCCTTTCCTCCTGGCAAGGCTGTCGTGAGGCCACCCAGCTCCCTCCTCAAGGGCTGCACTTTAGGGGAACAATGAAGCTGCAGCAATGACCCTGCATTGCCAGGAGAACTGCTCTCTGTGCTGCTGGAGCCTGGCAGACTGGGCATGGTCACCTAAGGACACTGCAGGTTGCTGCAGTGCTGCTCCGTGTGTGACGGGACTGGGCACACAGCAGCATCACCCAGGCACTAAATCGGGAGGAAATAAATGGCTTCTCTTGGAAGGGCAGTTACTCTTCCTACTGAAAGTAGGAAACCAAAACCAAAAACAAGCTTGCAGCCTTTCCTACAGACAGTCGGTCTTGGCCCTTGAATTTCTAAGACCAGACTCCGCCAATGCCCCTTTTCCCACTGATCAGATACCCAAGGTCGACCAATTATTGATTTAGTCTTTTGATTTATGCTTTAAAGTAGGAAGCTCCACAAGCCTTTGGGAGAACTAGTTGGTGCTCAGTCATTTACAACCGACTGTGGTATAGCATCTGTCCTCGTATGAGGATTTCTGAGACTGGGAATCAGAGGACCGGGCCTTGGGGTGGACGAACTGGGCAACAAGGGGGGCTGAGAAAGAGCCCAGGCACATGGCCTTGGATAGCTTCCCCTGCTATGTCTACTTCCTGAGAAGCCCAATTCCCTCCAGAGACACATTCCTGGTCCTCTCAGCAGTCGCCTTGCCGAGTCCTCCCACATGCCCTTAAGGACACCTCCATTTTCCAGCCCAGCTTGGAAAACAGCTTCTGATTAAATGCCCAGCCAATCTCCTAAGACCACAGAGATCATACTAACACCTCTCTATGAGATTAGAATATGCGACAAGGACTAGGGCTTGCCAGTTGCTGGTGAGAGAGCTTGGGAGAACCTAGAGGGGCAGGTAGAGTGCCGCTTCATGCCACTTAGACCCAGAAGAGCTTCTTCCTCACAGCCTGGCCTCTGTGAATTCTCCAAAGAAACATTATTTTCCCCAAGATCTTAAGGCAATTTCATGTGTTTCCCTGAGGTTAGTCATTTGTTGCAGAAAGCCTGCTGTGGGACTAAAGGATGAGGGACGGATGTCAGGCAGTGGACGGAGAGCCCTGTGCTAGAGCTGGGAGCAGGATGGGCCCTGTTCTGGTCGGCCTCCTGGACCCGTGTAGTCAGGTAAAACAGGGAGATGTATGGACCGAGGGTGAGGAGCTCAGACCCAGCCAGGACACCAGATGGAGTGAGTGGGTAGTGAGAGGACATTTACTGGGAAGGCTGGGCACAGGTGAGACATGCATGGTGAGTCACTAACAGACCATATCAGCCACTTACATGTCAGAAATGTGCAAAGAACCATGTCCCAACACCAACTAGTCCCTCCCCTCCCAAGAAGCAGAGAGGAGCTGGTACCTCTGCACCCCCAAGGTGACATCTCCAGAGGCAAGGACCTAGTCCACTAGAATTTTCAGTTGAATGAAATGGAACCACAACTGTCTCAGGAACCTGAGAGGTGTCTGACGGGACCCGTAGAACTCATGGTGATATGAGGCAAATGTGACTCCCCAACTACTGCCTCCTCTGCTACACATGCCCCTTCCTCAAGGCAAGACTGACTCCTCTATCACAGCACCCTGGTGTCTAGCATGGCACCTGGCCCATAGCATGTGCTGAATACATGCTGAAGTACATGGAATGCCACAAATCCCTTGACCTCAGTGAACGGACAGGGTGTGAAAAATTAAGATGCTCCAATGCAGAAAGATGCCTTCATCTTTTCTCTTAATGCGTAAGTCAAGGTCCTTTATGAAATCAGATGGAGGAGGAGTAGAAGGGCAGTGGGTAGAAGATAATCCTGCAAACAAATGGGAAAGGTATAGGAGTTGGGGTGTTGGGAGAGTGACCCTCCCAACTATGACCAGTGAAAGGAGCCCCTGAGCAAGGAGCAAGGGTTGATGGGCCTTGATGAGCCCACTTGCTGTGCCTGTCAGCCATGGGCAGCATCCCAACTGAGAGAAAGCCTCCATCTGTTAGTGACCCCAGCCCTGAGCTGCTCTCCAATCCCTTCCATCAGATTCTCTGCAGAGGAGATTCATCAAGGTGAAGCTCAATTCCCAGTAGACTAATGAAAAGAGGACAACAGACGTGCCAAGAGCCAAAATGCAGACGGTGTATATTAATCACAGGCAACAGAAACATGTCAGCTTTAATGTCTGCTTGCTTTTATCTTGAAATGAAAATGCATCTCTGCTGCCCAGACCCTTTTTTCTGATCATTTCAGAGCAGAAATGGGAAAGCCACACACACACACACACCACAAATGTTGAGGGTTCCTTTCTCCAACAGAAAGAGCTATCATTTATGAGCCCATAGGTCGTATCTTTGTGTAAAACCAGAGAACCAACCCCAAGTCTCACCTACAGACTCCAGTCCCTGTGTGGAGAAGGGAGGGAAGGGATGAGGAGGCATCTGCCTTTGGGAGATGAGGGGCTCTGCTTGTGCCTCTGGGTCAGAAATGAACATACTGTGCACATCACCCCTGGACACAAAAGTGCATTGATCTTGGTCAAAATGGAACCCACCCCCACCCCCAAGCTCCCTGTCTCAACTGCAAAGGAGCATCTGATATGTGGGATTAAGAATCGGTCATGTTCATCGTCACTAGTAAACTTCAAGTGGTAGAAACAAGGTGAAAGCTTTTTGGAGGTCAGGAAATTAGACTTTCAGAAAAGCAAGAAAAACATGGAGGTGACTCAGAGTTGGAGAGGGAATGTGAGGCTGGAAAGGAATGAGAGTAACCAGAACCCCCCCTCAGCCAGGAAGCCAGAGCACCGCTCCATCTTGAAAGCTGCATCTAAGTGTCAGCAGACTTTGGGGTGTGTCTGGTGATGTGACCACAGAGGTGGTCAAATCAACTGCTTCTGAAGTCAGAGCTGTAGGAAGATGATTTCAGTTCTAAGTGAAATGGTCATGATGGATCAAGCCACCTGATTGCTTCCAAGCTGACCTTGGTGGCTTCCAAAACAGGTGTCTGGTGCCCTGAGCTAGACAGGCTTGGGGGGAGAGTGAAGAAAACCAGTTGGTGAGTTTAGAAAAGAAAGTGCATGTGGAAGTTGGTTGTTTTCAAAGGAATTTGTAGATATTAGAGTTGGTATGTTATTGGCACGGACATTATAATGTCGGTAAGGTCATATTTGGAGTGACTTGGTGGTGCTTTGTTTGGAATATTAGTTAATGTATTAAATATAAATTATTAGAGACAAGTAGGCTAAAGGCAGCGACATATATGTGTCATGTGCATATATAGTGGAGAAATAAGATGTAGAATGAAGATGTCAATGGTCCCAACAAAGTTTAAATTCTTTAGAAGCACTGGTTTGGAGGGGATACTTTTTCATATTGTCGTTGTCTACTTTTAGCTCTCAAAGCTCCGGGAATAGTGCCTGGCACATAATAGGAGCTTAGTAAGCATTTGGAAATTGAAGGCCCGCTTGTCACCACTGGGTAGATATTCAATAGTATCATCAGACCCTAAGTTAAGTGAGCCACAGAGAAGCTCGGCCACATCCCCTCCCCTGATCATCATGACCTGGCTGAGGACAAGCCTCTGTGACTCACAGATTCGGCGCAGTGTCCAGCCAGCTGTTAGTGAGCAGCGACAGGACCTTGCACACAGTGGGTTCACACCACTTAGACCACACCTGCATCACACCCCACAAGCTGTTTCTACAGGGAACCGGGCTGAGGGCTTCCCTTCCATCACCTCTGCCATTCCCTGGTGAAATGCTGTTGAGTTTTGCCAACTTCAGGCACAATTCTGCAACTAAATGTGAAGGTCCTGAGCTCAGTCAGTCTAACAGGTCCCGTGGATGCCTCTCTCAGCCCTTACCTTTTCCCCTGTCAGACGCCACCACCATTTAGAAGTCTTGATCGGCTGTTGATCCCCAGCTGCCAACCACAATGTGTGTGAGAAAGGTCCGAGATAAGGAGGTAAGCCTTCTCGCTCTGAGGTGTTGATACTGCAGCAAAGAAGGACCAGCAGCCTCATTTTGCAGAATCACCTCCAAACACTGTTACCATCTGGGCAATTACTGCCAGTCTGGCCAGAGTGGCTCTGCAGTGGCTGGGGGTGGGCCAGTGTGTACCTAACACGCGTCACATTTCTGAGTACTTCCACTTCCTCAGAGAGTGAATCATTTTAGTCCAGAAAATGCATTCATTTTCCAACTATACTAGTGTGTGTGTGTGTGTGTGTGTGTGCGTGTGTGGCCAACTCTGGGACATCTTGTTAGAAGGACTGTCCATATTTACGGAATGTTGACTCTAACTTCAGGAGAGCACTTACCACCTTGTCCCGTGAAAGAGGTTGCCCAGTGCCAGCAGACCACAGAAAATGCCCTCTCCCTGACCACACCCTCAGCACCCGCCCCTCCCTAGTGAGCTGCCCTGTCCAACTCAGGCTGATGCAGAGCGAAGGCCGCTAGGAGTGTATGTACACAAAGATATAGGAAGAAATAACCATCATCATGGGAACCTGCTGGGCTTCTTCCCATGACTGTGATCTTACCCTTGTTGGAATCTCAAACGTTAACTTTCTAACAATTAAGATTCTTGCTGTTTCCAAGTAATTTGTTAAATGCTATTCAACACAGATATTTATTTTCAGCCTTGGCTTGTAAATGCCTACAAACTGATTCATGTTGGTGGTCATTCTGACACTTTCTGTGAATTGGTGAATAAATATGATTTTAGAGTTTCACAGTAAAGATGACCTCTGAGAGTTTTTATTCTTCAGCATATTTGATGACGTGAGATGATGAGAACTGCATTGAACAGTCAACATTCCCTAGGACTCTGGGTTGGGGGGGTGACATGGAAAGTTGGCCCCTATCAGGGCACCCGGTACACTCAGAGCTGAATTCCGAAGCAGTGTAACTGGAGACCAATACAAAGACACTCCTAATATGTTTGCTTTGCCCCTACAAAGGGCTGCAGCTCTATGTGTGCGGTCTTGATTAATCCCTGACGTGGTAGTTATTGTGCCTGAAGTTGGCAAAACATGAAGAAGATGAGATGCAGAGGAGCTGGGTGATGTGGAGGGCAAATGGGACCGAGTGGCTATGTTTCTCTCCAGCCCATTCCTTCCTGCTCCCCCATACTGGCCTTCCCTTTGTTGTGCTAATCATTATTAATAATATGCACTTTATTTAGCTAACTAGGTGCCTGGAACTATGCTGTGTGTTATGTGCAGTATTTTATTTTAATCCTGCAACAGTCTTATTAGATTTATATCTCATGTACAAATGAGAAAAAGCACAGAGAGGGTAAGTAAATAATCCTAGGCTACAGAATGCCAAAGTTCAGGGTTGCTCAGATTTTTTACCCATATAGCCACTCCAGACAGCCCACTTCAGATCAGTCCAAAAGCAAACGCCTATATTCTGTGAGCCCCGGGATTATTATAACTACGGGGCTACTTGGAAGCCTTTCAGAGGGAGAGCTCTGGGTGCTGACACAGTGCGGCCACATTGTAGAGACTACAAACCTCACCAGCACTTTCAATGGACACAGGCCCATAGCCTAGACTCCCAGGGTCCAAGAGCATAGCTTTCTGACTTGCTGAGAGCCCTTGCCCACTTCTCTCTTCCCTAAACAACAAAAAGTAGTCCCAGGAGCTGTGTATTAACCTTGAAATTCCTTCCTCAAGGCTACACTGTCAAACCTTCATTCCTGTTCTACCCTTCACTCATCTCACTTTACCCTTCTAATTACCACCAACATTTACAGTCATTCAGTTACTGTACAATAATGTCCTGAGTGTCTACTGTTTTCTTGGACTAAGATAAACACCACACACACACACACACCTGTAAATACTCCTATACACACATACTAGCATATATCTGTGGTCTTCTATTTTCATGATACTTTAATAAAACCACTACTCGTCATAGCTCCACTGTGTGACAACCTCCCTGTGCTTTCCTTTCCTCATTTATAAAGTGGTAACAACGGTACCTTCCTTAAAGGACTGTTAGGATAATTAAATGAAGTAATTTCCATAAAACATAACCCTTTAGGCATGTACTAAATAATTACTGTCACCACAACTAAGACCAATCCTCTTCCAACACGCCCTAGCAATGGATCAGCCCTTCCTTCATCTACTCATTCATTCATTCATTCATTCATTCAGTGGTTCTGGGGTCTAGCCTCCACAACATTCTCATGGGTGGACTCTACCTTATCTCCTCAATAGGGACGTTTTCAGAAAGAGGGGAAATGGAAAGGGCAGAGAGATGTACAAGGATTGCTGAACATTGGTGCTGGATCTCTAATCCTTCCTTCAACACCAGGAAGAAAGCATCTTTATCCCATTTCATAAGTGAATGAGTTCCAGGGAAACTAGGTCTCCTGTTGGGGTCACACGGCTGGTGAGTGGCAGAGCCCAGAGCCCTTCACAGAGGTGATTTTCCAAATACTGTGCTTGTTGCTGAGCCCGATGTCGGCCCCCATCGCTCGGGAATAGCCAGCCCCAAAGAGTGAACAAACAGAGTGAGCAGGTGCCAGAGCCAGTGACAGCCCTGTTTTCCTTTTTAGCACGAAGGGCTATAACCAATTCCCAAACATACCAGACAGGAACTGAGAAGCCCTGGTTGGACAACTACAATTCCAAAAATAAAATGAGTTTAAAACAATGTAAAACAGACAGAGCCTAAAAAACCAGCAGGAGAGCAAAATCTATGGAAATATGCACCTAGAAACAGGCAAATGTGCTTCCTCTCCCAGAGCAGTGACATCGGAAGGCTGACCCCAAGGTCTCTGTTGACCTCCATGTCCTGGAATCTGTGATGATCCTGAGACTCAGAGAAACCTGAAGTTTCCATTCATTCACCTGTCTATTCTTTGCCCAAAGATGTTCCAAAGGTTCTTACTTGGTGCCTCCTGTGAGCCACACACTGTGCTAGGCACCAGCTCCTGCCCTCACTGAATGGACAGCCCAGTGGAGGAGAGAAGCAATTGTCAGATAATCCCATAAATAAATATACAATTACTATGAGCACTCTCAAGGGGGCTCCCCTGAAATCCTGAACATCTATAACACGATGAATTGCCATAATCAGGAAGGTCAAAGTTTCCTTAAAGAAATGAAGATTGAAGGAAGATAGAGAAAGGGGAGGTTTCCTGGTCAAGGTTCTCAGTTGCAATTGAGAAAGTCGCCTTTAACCAGCTGAAGATAGCAGGTATTTATGGGCAGAATCACTGGGAAGACTAGGGAATCTGAGCTGGAAAAACCTCTCAGCAGTGCCTTCCCCAGCAGAAATGAACCGAGGCATGAGTACAGATGTGGGCTGTACATCTGGAAGGATCTCACCTTGCTCTCTCCTCTGTTTCCTCATCTAAAACTTTCACTCCAAAATCTTCCCGTGATTCTACCTCCTGAAACATCATGTCTCATGGGTTGAGCCACCAGATAAAGAGTGAAGTGGACATGGGGATATTTCCAAATAGGCTCAATTTTGGTCAATCAAGGTGATGCTACTCCCCTGTTCAAATTCCCCCGAGAGAGCTTCATGACCTCAAGATCAAGGGAACCCCACTGCATGGCTCATGACATGGTTAATGAGCTGTTCACAACCTACATACACAGACATGTACCCACCACTGCTTCCTGCATTCCAGACCTCATCCACTTGTCCATCAGACCTCACCGAGCACGGAAGAAGGCTGCTGGCAGTTGAGTTGTGAGCCCAAGGAGCAGGCTGGTGACGGGCAGCCTCAGCCTTCTCTGACAAGATGTGTTTAAAAATTTGAAAAACTGCATCATGTATTTTCCTTCCATGAATAAATGATAAAGTAACTTCACTTTATTAAAAGATGTCAACCCTGTCACCTGGTTCTAGCAGACATTGACCCAAACACAACCTGAAGCATGCTTCTTCCACCACAAGGTGCCTCTGACTCAGAGTGTGTGTGACAGAGGGACAGAGGGACAGGCTGCTCACTACCAGGAGATACTGGCGAGGGCTTTCAACCCGTGTGTGTCCAGATGCTGGGACCAGTTTTGCTGCCTAGTTTCCTCGACTCACGTAGGTAAGAAAAGAGGAACTATGGTGTGTAGACTCAAGGATAAAGGTGGGATCAACGAGGTGAATTGAAGAACAGCCGCTTTTAGATAAGAAAATCAATTTAAGGTAACAGTTTCGGAACTGTGTGAGGCTGGGGAATGCGCTCACCTTTAAGGCAACCTGGGCTGCTACAGTCAGAACCTCAGGATCATTTGATCTGTACACAGTGAAAATCTTAGCCCAGGACAGATGGGTTTGGATGCATTCTCCCTGACGTAAGCACCACCACCCAGACAGGCCTTGGACAGTGCCTGCTACTGGGCAGCCACTACAGCCAAAGTCCTGCTGCCACACCTGAGACCCTGGGATCCCCACCTCCAAAGGTGCACCACGCCCGCAGCAGTAAGTGCAACCTTCCCCCTCCCCAGCGGCAGACCTCCGACATCGCATTTGCGTGTCTCCAGCTCGCAGGTCTCCGAGGCACACCACTCCATAACTTCTCTTAGGGGTCACTGGGAGCCCCAGCTGGGTGTGGTTTTGTACAGACATAGGTGCACTGCCCCCCAGTAGAAATTCTGAATTCCCTCTGCCTGAATAACTGCCCCCACACACCCAGCTGCGCAACTTCAGCGCCAGGGCCCCTCAGAGTGAGTCAGAGCTCAGTGCCCGGCAAACGCACTGCCACAGTTGCTCATTCCCCCTACTTACTGCAGGTGCTCCTGTGTGCCACCACTGGGAATGCGCCTATCCACCACAGGTGCATCAGCAACAACTGAGTTTCCCCACCCCACAGCTGCAGAACTCAGGATACTACAGTTGCATGCTTTTCCAGCGTGCAGGTCTCCCAAGACCACTGCTCCACAGGCAGCCCTGGGGCCGCACTGTGAGCCCCGCTGGACACACGCTTAAACAAACAGGGGTGCACTGCTGGGCTGTAGAAACGCTGAATTCTCTCTTCTAGGATACCTGCCCACAGACACTGCAATCCAGTGGCTTCAGTGCCAGGGCCCTTCAGAGTGTGTCAGTATACCCCGCTGGCAAGCACACTACAGGTCCCTGTGAACTGCCGCTGGGATCGCATGTATCCAACCAGGGAGGCAGCAGCGAAAGCTGAGTCTGCCCACCCCACAACTACAGAACTCTGGACACCAGTCACGCCTTTCCAGAATGCAGGCCTCCGGAGCCCCACCACCCCAACAGATGGTTCCTGGGTGCCACTGTGAGTCCCTGCTGGGAACACGTGATTTCAACCAAGGGCAAAAGATAGCAAAAATTGGGACACACCCTCCATGGCTGCTGACTTCTAGACACCTCAGTTGCGCCTTTCCAGCCCGCAGGCCTACATCAAGAGAACCCATATAGCTCAAGTAGGGAGCTACACTAGACTACCAAGCCCAGGAGACTTGAGAGGTCACACCAATAGCACTATACCCAAAAGAAACTGGGTAGCAAAGCAATCGGAGCTATAATTAAAACATTACAGCAAAACATGGGAAGACAAAAAAGCAATCCACAAAGGAAAGAAAAAAAGGAATCACCAGAAAGGGAGTTAAATGAAATTGAGGCTACTAACTTATCAGAGAAAGAATTCAGAGTAATGGTGATAAGGATGCTCAAACGGCTGGATGACAAATACACACAACTCAATGAGAATTATAAGGAGCTGAATGAGAATGTCACCGACATGAAAAGGAACC